TACTGTTTCTATTTCTTCTCCATTCACTTTCACTTGTTGCCATGGTCCGTATGTAATTGACATTACCTTTATTTTCCTGATGTTTATATTCAGACCTAATTTTTCACTTTCCTGTTAATACTTTTTCACTTTTAATATGTCCATTAACTTTGAGCCAGGAATCTGAAACTTTGCCAACAGCAATCAACTATGCATAGGTCGCCGAATAAATGACATTATTATTATATTTTCTGCAAAAGTTTAATTAGTGCTGTTAAAGGGTCATTAGCGTATTACGTATGTTTCATTGAGTTATAAGAATCCATCATTGATATAGAGCCCCTTGGATTTTCCAATAGCAGAACAACTTTTGAATGTAACATATTTTTTGATTATTAAATTCGAAATCGTATAACTTGCCAAGTAAAACCTTGGGTAGTCTCCACATTTGGAACAACTGTACTATCTATCAACTACTTTTTGCCGTCTGTCTTGTAGCCAGTTTATTTATCCATGTGAGTACCTACATTGCATGGGTGGCACTCACTTCCAACTTTATTGACAAAATGCCTAACCTTGTCAATGCCAAATGTATTAACCTTGCCAAATACCTTGGAAAAAAGAAACATACACTGCTTTACCGTTATTCATTTTATCATGCACCTCTTTCGAAAAATCAAGCAAATGTGTTACGCGAAAACGCCAATATACTTAATCATGTTGACTTTTGTTAATGATATTCTTTTTGCTAAATATTTCACAATTTTTGATTTAATTATCTGTTTTACCATTTCTCATACATCCAATGTTTGTAAAACTAACGGGTTTATAATTACGTTGATCACGACGATATTTTTAATACCTTGGCACTATTGTTTAAAAAGTCCTACCAGTGTTTTGCGATGTCAGTCAAATTTTGTTAAAAATTGCAGATTGAGTCATCACTTTCAAGACATTTCATCTTCATTTAATCTTCGCAATTTTCAGGCGCTTGTTTTTATGTAGTTACCAAATAATCTAATTTGATTTTTGAATTATCAACTTGTTTTTGCGAGAATATAAAAGCCTCACTAGTAAAAAGCTGAACTAAATAAGTAAAAAACTTTTACTGTCGATTTTGTTGCCATCAGTAAGTTTATTCTCATAGTTATAAAAGCCACACTATTAAAATAAAAAGACTCCAGATTTTTGTTTATATTTTTTAGCTGCTGCATTAGCACTAACTTCTCTGCCTATGCGAATGTGATTTATTATACATAGTTTTATATTCCTAAAGTGCCTTTTACTTAGCTCTTTTTTATACTTCCACTGTTATCCAGGACCACTTATTTCTTGACATCTTATACAGCGGTAATATAAATTATGCCTTGCCGTCTTTTTTCTACCTAATTAAACCAGTTTTTTATGATAATCGAAATCTCCCATAAAAATAAGAGCTTCAACTGACAATGTTTTATAAAGTGTGCAAACAAAAACAGAACAACAAATCAGCAGCAGATTGTAGGAGTAGCCTTTTTTGTCTTAATGAATGTATTCTATAATTTACATAAACCCAATTCTTCAAATTTTCCACCGATCAAATTGATGATTTTCAATTTTTCTTCCAGTTGCGTCAGCCTAGCAATCGTTTTAAATAATTTCTGTAACTAAAAAAATTTGCTTTTCCCCAAGAAAACTCAATGCAAATAACCACCTGATTTAGTTAAAATATAAAACAAAATTTTTTTTGAGTTTGAAAAAAGGCTAAAGGTATATAATATTGTTCCTAGGTTCCGAGATATTGTCGGGCGATTGGGTGAGATAGATTAAGTAGATTAATCTTTGGCTGGTCATGGACCTGGAATTTTTGTTTTATTGAGTACAACTTCTTTCAACATCGCACGAGGGTCAATATGACAAAATTAACATAAAAAATCAGTTTTATATCGCACTTTAAAGTTTCTTTAACCTGTTGCCGTTGTTTACTGACACATTATGACGCATTTACCAATTTTCAGTTAGGACGGCTTTTGGCTGCGTTAATTTCAGGGTTCACAATATTCTTTCCGTCGTAACCAGGATTATATCTTAATTATTTTTGAATGGCCAGACTCTAGCACCAAGCACATAGATTAAGACATTTGTTTTTCCAAACGTGTTAACATGGGGAGCGCATGCATGCATAAATCACACATGTTGCTGTAATGTATGCAAGTTTTAATGTATGTTTGTTTTCATGTGTATGTTTTTATATGGAAGTTTATACGAAAATTTATTAAGAGGTATTAATTCAATTTTTATTAAATTCAAGCTTATTTATTGGTAATATGTAGTAAGGTTTTACGCTGGATTTGAGACAAACCGCAGGCAAGCTAATGAAGCCATAGCCACAAATTATAACAAAATGCATTGTGAACAAATCTGCCTGGGGCTGCGTCCTGTTGTTTATACTCAGTTCAATTTTGTTGACACTATTTTTGCTAATTCCATCATACATTTTATTTTAATTTGTTTTTTGATTTTCCTGTATTTGTTTGGCGAAGGGCTATGCCCGTGCCACTTAAAATAATAATAAACCCGGTACATTCCTAGTAACAATATGCTGGAATGAATTTTTTATTGATTTGGAACATAAGTCATTTATTTGTTTTGTTGTTTAGTGTTCTCTTTGTTCTTTGTTTTTCACATTTGAAATAAAAGTACTTGTACTTCTACTATTATGCTTGTACTTGAGGTGTAGGTACTTAAAATTGGATTTTTTTCGGTACTTGTATTCTTGAGTATGAGCACTTGAACTTGAGGAAAAGAACTTGAAAACATCTCTGCTTCGAAAAAATTATTTTTTCCTTAAAACTTTTGGGGGTAGGATAAAACAATTAAGGAAGCGAAATGAACGTCCATCCAAACGTTGGAGTGGAAACAATTACGTCATTACATAGCACATTCACATTGTCCCTCAGCATCAATTATGATGAACATATGACGTCACTGCCTCTCCTGCTTCCAGTAGAGCGTACAATGGGAAATACAACAGGACAATTTCAACTTAAATTCCATGGGTATAACAGATTATCTCAAAAAAATTCGTTATCAGCTGAGACACGTATTGTTGGTGTAATGAGACAACAAGTGTCTTCTTTCCAAATAAGGGCGATTAAAGAAATTGAGCTGTAAAGCGAGCATTTTTTCTATGTTATTGTAAACTAATCTCTTCATTTTAAAAAGCAAATTTCTGGCATCAAAATCTGCTTCATGTTTTAGTAATCTTCCTTTCTTTTCTCATATATCTCCACATCTCGTTCTCTTGCACTGGCTACCTATAAAATATAGAATATAAAATTTGCACATCTATGTATGTCTCAATTTAAATTACTTCCTATGTACTTATCAGATATATTGATTGAACCTAAACTACCCGGTTTACGATCGTCTTCTTGTTCTCACTTCTTCTTAACTCGTGTTGAACACTCTTTTGTTAAATCTGCATTTACTTTTTCTGGCCCTTTTCTCTGGAACTCTCTACTTCCTTTTCTGACTACTTCTCCATCACTTACGAAGTTCAGAGATGATCTCAAGACCCATCTGTTTGCACAATTCATTGAGGGGCGTTGTTGAACATCGCAGAGATAGCGCTTTATAAACTAATTGATTGATTAATCATCTGATAGCCATATCGCCTGCCCCTCCTTTACTTCACGTTCAAGTCTAACTCATTTATTTATTACGATCGATTTTTATGCATTGTCTATATCATACAAGTAAAGTTGTTTGTGAATCGTGACATCCCTGTTTTGACTTTCCAGGTTACAAGCTGGATGGCTGGTTTCGTTTACACGCTTTTTTGACTCGCTTTGTTGGCAGATACAATTGATTTGGCCTAATTTCCGGTTTTTCCAATTTCGTGTACCTAACGTACAGAACAATTTACTGACGGGAAGTCGTCCGTTTGAAGAGGGCGGTAGTATTTTTTTTTAAATTAATCAACTCGTACCGTGAAAAGTAATCCATGGTGCCAATCTCTATGCCAGCTTGAGTCGATGACATAAACAGTAAATGTCACTTTCTTACCGCCTTTTTAATTGATTGTTAGAGGTTAAGAAGGAACATTAGAAACAACAAGTCTGGCAAAAAGTTTTAAAAGAAGGACCATAACAAAACTTTATTAAAACCATTGACGTCAAAAGTGTTTAATCAATCAATCAATTAGCTTGTAAAGCGCGTATTTTCGAGATGTTCAACAGCGCTCCCCAGTGAATTTTACAAACAGATGGGTCTTGAGATCTACTCTGAACTAAGCAAGTGATGAAGAAGTAGTTAAAAGAGGTAGAGACTTCTAGAAAAAAAGACCAGAAAAAGCAAACGCAGATTTAGCATAAGAGTGTTTAACACGAGTTAAGAAAAAGTAATAAGAAGATGATCGTTAACAGGGGCGATTAGGTTTAATTAATATATCCGTTAAGTATTTAGAAAATGATTTAGATTGAGACTTGTACATTATTGTGAAGATAATAAAAATTATTCTATATTTCATAGGTAGCTAGTGCAAGAGGACAAAGGGCACGATCAACTAGACAAGCAGCAGAGTTAAGAGCTTTACTTAAAGGATAGAGTGTAGAATCAGGAAGACCATAGTAAAAATCAATAATCGAGTTACAATATTCAATCAATCCTAGATAAAACTAATGAAGAAACAAGTAGAAGAGTAGGATCATCAAGAACAGGCAAAAAAAATTTTTATTCTACTTAAATGAAGTAAGAACTTTCGGCAACACTTTTTAATCTGAGATAAAAGACACATGCTAGAATCGAAGATAAGCCTAAACTACAAACTTATGAGAAACATTGAGAGTTTTAGAATCAGGTAAGATAATAAATAGAAGGAATAGTGATTATTCCTTCTATTAACATTTGGTATTAACAGTTGGTCTCAAAACAACCTGCAAAAAAATATTCAATAAATAAAAACTCCTAAAATTTAATCAGTCTCATGATATTAATATAGAAACATGTACTTGATTTTTTAATCACAACATTAAAAAATATCATTCTAAATCTTCATCCAATTGATAATGGATTTTTCTTAATTCGGCAAGACGTCTCCTTTCTTTTTCCAAATTACTCTCAAGTTCTAAAACCTTTATTTGTGAATCCATTTCTTTTCGCTTAGCTTGGTGCAGGGTCAATTTAGTGAAATCAAACAACTCTGCAAAATAAAAAAAAACGTGACAATGAACCTTTTTTGTGATGCCTAATTAATTAATGCTTATTTTAAATTTATTCATAATGCATAATTAGTTAAGACGATAATGACAAATTTATCTTGAATGTATTATAATTGTCGTTATTAATAACAAATTTGTTTAAAATTTAAACCCATTTCGTCCATTCTTTCAGCTCCACTTTTTGCCGAAGCAACTACAAGTCCTGTAGCTTCTGATACACCTTTAGAAGCTTCTGACATCTGAATTAAATTTAAACTGCCTGCGGCAGCCTTTACTTTTGAAGCTGCCACTAGTTGTGCAGTACTTGCGGCTATTTCTTGGGCACAAACAACTAATTCTTCAAATTTTCCCTGACCATTAACTACATTATCGGCTGCATCGCTATTGTTTCACAAACCAAAAGTATATATTAATGTTTTAATAAAAAAAATAAAATAAACATACACTAAAATGTTAGCACCAAATCCAACAGCTTTGGCTGCTGAAATCAGACCTTCAGTCCATCTGTTGTGTTTCTTATAAAAGTCTTTAATAGAACTCGTTCCCTAACAGTTTAATTAAAGTATATTTAATGAAAATCAGCTAAAATATAGTTAACTTGAAGGAATCTAAAATTAACATAAATATTACGACGTGATGCCTTAATTGTTAAAGGCATCGGGTCTTGCTTCAGGACGCCATTTCAGGTATGAACAAAATTTGTTTAATCTCCCGAAACTCACTCTGACACTGGCATAGATAAAATATAATGTAGTTATCAGCCAGTACGTACACGTCGTGGGGGATAGGCAACAATAATGCGGAGATTGTAAATGGAGAGTATGCCGGTGGACCAAAAAAAGCTGGTGGGTGCAAAAGAAAATACCACAGCAGTTCAAAGAAGCATCCATCAGTCACTTGTATAAAAATGAGAAATGGATATCGTAGAGATGCCGGAGTATTTAAATTATACAGACTGAAAACGAAAACAAAAATCAAATATGGTTGTGTATAGGAAACGTTATATGCTGACGACTGCGCCTTAAGGCTTTATCTAAAGAAGATCTGTAAAAAAAGCTTGTCAATTTGCTAAGACCGAAGTTCTGCATTAGTGTTCCCTAAATACAATAGCACGAAAACCTGAAATAAATATTGATGACCAGAAATATACCAAGAAAGATAAATTTGTCTACCTGTAAAGTAAAACGTCAGCAAATGCTGACTTGGATGAAACTGAATTCCGCATTGCATAACTGGCGCCGTTTTTAAAAGACTCCATGAGCAATTCTGGTCAAGAGATTTAGGTACCGCCACCAAACTGAAAGTCTACAATGCCAAAGTTCTTCAATTGTTGTTGTATACTTCAAAATGCTGGACCTAATACTCCCAGCCTATAGAACAATTAAATTATTTCCATCAACGTTGTCTGAGAAAATAGCTGTTGTCGGTTATCGCAAACGAAAGCATTCATGACATATCAAAACGATCGCAGCTCCGTTGGACCGGACAGGTTGTCCGCATCATCAATAATCGAATTCTAGAACAACTTTTTCATGGAGAGCTGTCCAATGGAAAACGTTCAGTAGGGGACAGCGCTCAGATATAAGGATACGATATCTCTAATACAACGTGGAACCAAAGTCTTAAAATGGGAAAAATTAGCTTGCGATCGCTCATTTTGGCGTCAGGTAGTTGCTGTTTCGGAGTACCAATCAAAAAAAATTTCCGCCGATAAAAACAGGCTAGAAATCGCAGAGTAGGCTCAAGCGTAATGCCATTGGGCATCGGGATCAGCCTATTCTTGTCCAAAACCAAAAAGAAATCGGATACTCAAAGCAAAGATCGGACTTACCAGTCCTTTACGAGTTCACAAAAGATAACAAACAACGTTCATCATCAGAAAATTGAGAAACCGAAAATAGGCTCATCTTCGACTAAGAAGGTGCAGCTAAATAGGGGAGGGGCAAATTTATTTAATGCATGAAATTGAAGAGGCAAGTTTTTGTGATCTTTGTTGAGGCATGAAAACAGAATTATTATTATGTACGTATTATGTAAAATATATAAAAATAAATTGAACATTGATTCCTGGCAGGCAATGCCCTCTACAAATGATGCCCCTGTATCACTTTACAGTGACCTGATTTAAATGTGAAATGATTCTTGCCTATTATATGCAATGTAGGTGATTCTTAGATTTTACGATTAATCTCGTACGCATTGTGTGTGTCGTTGACACACCTTTGATACTTCTGAAGAAGAATCAAATGAAGAATGACTTTTAACTTTTAACAAGTTACATTTCAAAATATTTCATCAATAAATTATAAAGCAAAATTAACATTACTTTTCCCTGATCCACTATTTCTTTTTGCAAAATTTTAGACTTTTCTATAAGAATTCTTATTTTCTTTAAAAAAAATTTTATTTAAAATTTAGAATTTATAAAAGTTTATAATATTTATGGTACAAAGTCCAAAAATAATAAAGAACAAAATTACTAATGTAGCTGTTGCATGTTTAAAAAAACACTTTTCCAGGATCGATAAGCCTTTCGACAAACTGGCTCATCTACAGCCGCTAACACTTATCTTACATCTAAAATTACTTTTTTCCTTAATAACAACGTGTTTGTTCACCTGTTTGCTTTTGTCTTTTCAAAATCCTTCGATACTTTAAGTCACTACTCACTTGCCTCTACCTTCCTCTACCTATTTATAAACTTTTAATTGCCTTTTTACTTAATAGAAAATACTATACATATTTCAATTCAAATAATTCACTAATTCTAACAATTAACTCCAATTTTGTTCACAGTTCCGTTATTGATCCATTCGCTTTCATCGTCAATGCATCCACTTTACACCCCCAACACCACTCATTAAATACGCGGACGACACATACCTCATCGTCCCTTCACCAAACACCAACTCGATCCAATCTAAGCTGGGCTTGCTTCTTACCTGGTCCAAGCAAAGCAATTTTTCACTTAATCTACCACAACCACACTAACCAACTCAAAATTCTAAGTATCACCTTTGCATTAACACTCACCATTACTCCTCTCATCAACCACGTCATTACAAAAGACCTTACATGCACTCAAAACATTACTCTCACAGGGACTTAGGGGAATTAAACTCTTTGATGTCACAGAGTCTCCCATAATCTTATACATAAATATTCTGCTACATTGTTGTCTGGCTTTGCCACCCGGCAACAATAACATCAACTGCAATCACTTATTAACAAATTAATAAAACTAAATTATTCACCATCACCAATTCTTCAGCACATTAAACGCTCGCCTTTTTAAGAAAATTGAACCCAACTGTAACTATGTCATTCACCTATTGTTACCACTATTCAAAACCATATTCTAAAACCAGTCAACGCAAGCACAACCACGCAATCGCCACACACCCTCAACGTAATCCATTATAACCATTACTATTCACAGCATTACTGAGAAAACAATGGAAAAATGGAAGCATCGTTGATCGGCGGCATTGACAGTAAGGGCATACGCAAAAATTAAGCTGGAATTAAAGCGTAAGAAAAACTTTAAAAATAGTAAATCAGTTATTGGAAAAAAATAACTGAAGGGGTATAGTCATGTAAGAATGACAGCTGATATATTCCCACTGAAATCTTTGAAAACAATATTGAAAGAAAGAAAACGACCTAGAAAACATTGAACTGATCAAGAAGAAGGGGCCCTAGAGCGACTAAGACTAAAATGGAAACAAATCCAGAATTGATGTAAAAATAAAAAAAAAATAGTTAATTGATGCTGAACAGTCATGGACTCAACAGTCTATATTGGCTTATTAATACATGCAAAACTTAAAACAACAAAGAACAAAGATCAAAACACATTGGGAAAATTTGAAATGAAATGCTATAAAAAAAAATTAAAAATCAGCTGAAGACAGAAAGTAAGAAACAAAGCCATAAGAAATGAGCTTAGAAAATTAAATTATATACAAAAATTCAAAGTATGAAAATAAAGACAATTGGGATAAATTTACAAAATGCCAGATAACATAAAAGCTTAATTAAACATGTACTAATAAAAAAAATAAACTGGAAAAAAGGTTGGAAGACCTGGTAAGATTTGGATGGATGACGTTACAGATTGAACAAGAGTGGGAATGTAGAATTCAATAAAACTGACTGAAGACCAAAAATATTTGATTGATTGATTCATTCAATTCAACGGAGCCTAAGAAAGGGTCAAAAATCGATCACAAAAGAGCACATATAAGTGAGTAAAATGCACAAATCTATATTTCAAATTTTTATTCAACCTTGTATTTATTTTTTACCAAAAAATATCTAACTTAACAAGAACAGTTAAAAAAATTGATAAACTACAGTAGGCAGTTTAAACAAATTGGTTAACATAGTATCACAAGAGACGACCAAATACTGTTTACAGATCATATCTAAGGCTGTTTATTTTCATATAATTTATCAGCTGATCAAGATCAATTCTCATTATTTCTTTTGTCACTTGAACTTTCTTTAAAAGTACAGACTATAAGTAAAAGCAGCTAAAAATTATATTAAATAAAAAAAATAATATTAATAAGCTTAATTTTACATACAAAGTAGAATAATTTTTTCACAAGAACAACAAAACTTTAAAAAATTGTATATTAAGCTCGAATACCATCATCAGATTATTGCAAGAATCCAACAGCTTTTCATTTACTTCCAACTGAAATCCACTCTGATTCGACTTTGAACCTTTTAAAATTTCCTACATTGAATATTAATGAAAGGTAAATAAACATAAAAAACATAAATTGAAAAAATGAAAAATGGTCCCCACAGCTAGTCTATTAGCTGCCTGTTCAATAGCAATTGTGGTTTGCAGCATTTCCTTGTCAATCATGTCGTCAAACTTTTCAACTTCAACATCATCTATTTTGGGCAGTAACGCGGTAGTCTGAACGATAATTCGGTCCAGCAACTGATTTATAACAGCAGAAATGTTCAAATATTCATCGGATGAACCTAATAAATTTGAATTTAAAATCGATTATCATTTCACCGAAAAGTCATAAATGTCATAAAAAATTATTTTTACGCTCAGCCTAATAATAATACAATTGTTATAATGTTTTTCTCAAAATGCAAAAAACATTGTTTCAACTCCGGCTGCCAATGTTCACATTATGCAAATTATTTCTACTCGTGTAAAACTTAACATTTTATTCATTGAGAAAGCAATTATAAAGCACTTTCAGATTTGTGCAAACAAACTTAATAAACACGATTAAAAAAGTTATATCGGTTAAAAGCTAAAAATTTTAAATTACAAAATTTCATGGTAGTTTTCTGCCTATAATGTTAAAAGTCAAACTATCACGAAAACAAACCTCCACAAAAAAAATCCCTCTTCACAACAACAAAATTTAACCTTTTTTTGAGAGTTGAGTCAATTGAAATTATGACTACGTTCTCTGTCTAAAAACCACTATTTACAAAATTTCATGCCAATCAGTTCTCAGGTTTAAAATTTATAAAAATCCTTATCAAACAGATTCTTTCCGAAGCCGGAGCAAGTTAAAACCAAGCCCACGTTCTCCACCTTTTTTAAATTTTTTTTTAAATATACCGAAATATTTCCTGCCCCCTAGAAAACCGATACTGCTAGAAAGTGGAGCAAGTTAAAACCATGCCCGACGGTTATTTTTTGTAAATATTATTATTAAAACCATTATTTACTCCTTAAAACCATTTGAAAAATGGTTTTAAAAAGTAAATAATGGTTTTAAGGAGTGAATTTTTAATTTTTTAGTCGCATTTTGTGTCCAAGCCAAGTACAAAGATCAAATTTTTTGACACGTGATAAGAATTTTAGTAGATTTGAAAAAAATTATAAAAACTGTATTTTATTACAAACATAAACTTATACTTATGAAAGTTAACGTTAAGTTAGTATTACCATCAACTAAACTTTGCAACAGTCTTGTTTCCTCCAGTCCGATTCTCTCGCATAAAGTGATCAGTTCTAAATGTGGGTTGCATAAAAAATGTTCAATAAACAGCTAATAGTAATTTTCATAACCTGTTACGGTTCATTATAAAAAACAAATTTTCACAAACATGTTTAAGAACGAGTTGTAGGAAAATAAACTACTTATATGAAAGGTATATGATACTGATATTGAATTCTCAAAAATGACGTTTCGTTGTGCTTCGTTAAGGGATAAAATAAAAATGGTTTTAAGGAGCTAAGATGTTTAGCCAGTTATCGAGTGAATAATTTTCTATGACAATTAAAACAAAAAATAAGAAATAGTGTGCTGAAAAATAAAAATAAATGAAAATTTTTTAATCGGTTATGACGGCGGCATGTAGTTTGCTACCGGACGGAAACTACCCTTGCGTAGGCCCGAGTAAGGTGCCAGCCAAAGCATGAATTCAAGCGTGGTTGTTATTTAATTGTACAACTACGGAAATTTCCAAGTTTTTTAATTTTTTTTATAATTTTTAGACAAGATGTGGTATAGAAATCGAAGTTTAAGTACAAGAAGTGCTTATTTAATTGCAATTTATTATATCTTAACAGTCTCCATCTTTGTTTATTATTTACGTCTATTTTTATGGTCTAGAAAAAAGTTGTCAAAATCCTTTTTTTATATCTTTCATCCAAATGTGGTTAGAAAACAGAAAATCCCTTTATTACCCCTTTGCCATTATATACTCAATCTTAATACCGCCGTCTATTTTTTCGCCACTCCTATAAAAAGCGAATCGCATGGATTAATTTAATTAGTTTCGACGTTCGACCTTTGTAGGATTGCTACGAGTGGTAGGCAACCGTTCATACCATCCATCTACAACTTTGTTAACATCGATCTCCCCCGGTGGATATTTTTTAGAGCCGCCATTAAATACTGTTACCATATCACACTGTCAAGTTCGATTCACTAATAAAAGAGATAGTTTTCGATTCGAGGAATTTGTAAAATTGTGCATTCTGTTCAAATCCGCTTGAGTCATCAATGGCACAGAAAACGAAATCTCGCTTAAACTAAACTTTTTTGCATTTAAAAAAACGCTTCACCGAATGATATCCACTCAAAAATCCGTATGCAATTTTATCGTAATCCTTTCAGGAATTGAAAAAATTTTAATGGAAAGATGAATGCAAAATTGCTTTTTAGTCGGCTTTTGAATAAATACGCCAGTCTAATTTTAAATCTTATATTTACATATATAGTTTCTCCTATATGGTTTTTGCGTAATTGACTGAATAATATATCCTTAGAAAAGTAGTAAAAATACTTCAGCATCCCAAACATCAACATGATTATTTAATAATATCCGCTATCTGTAAAAGGCGCCTGTCCCAGTTTCGTAGTGCATGCAGTGACCGGCTTCGAATATGATGAAAAGACTCCCATCTATCACATGCATCGTGTGTGTGACTCCAGTAAGAACCACCCAGCCGGACGAAGCAGTCACAATGTCTAGCGTTCTATTCGTCACGTGTGATGCACCATGTATTCACTGAACCACATCAAATGTTAACAAAAGTACTTCCGTTCGACTGCTGTTCAGATCATTAATACTGTTCAATCAATCAATCAATCAATCAATCAATCAATCAATCAATCAATCAATCAATCAATCAATCAATCAATCAATCAATCAATCAATCAATCAATCAATCAACCAATCAATCAACCAATCAATTCTGACATTTCTCATGCGTGTGTGTGGTTACGCAATTTAAATGAATAGCTTTTTTTATATCCGAACGATGCATAACAAAAAAATATTTTCTCTATAACATGATAATAATATCTTACAATTTGAATCACTTTTGAAAAATGGCTCATTCAAAAAATGTGATCTTCCTATTCAGCGTTATCTAAATACATTACTCACAATGAAATTAAATAGGGAACGTTAATTAAAATCAACCCAATAAAAGCAAATATTAATAAACCTTCTGAAGCTTCTGATGATGAAGAATGAGCAGTTGCAAATCCAAAATTTAAAAGCATATTAAAACACTGAATAAAATCACAAAATTTTTCAATAAAGTTGTGGAAAGCTAAAAGAAAAAAATATTCAGTTGACAACAAAAACAAATTGGAAGCTATATGAAGCTTTTACTTGAAGATGAGGTATCATACAATAATTTAACATCGAAAAATTCCTTGAATATTTTTTTAGTTGAAGATACAACTTCAAGTAAATATTCTGAAAAACAATTTTATTTCTTTTAAAGATATCGTTATTATTAATAAATAACATAGATTAAAAATGTTTGTCACTTAATAAAGTCATCAAAATTTTTTTTGAAAATTTGAGCTTAAACGTGACCAGAAAAAACAAAAATTGCACAAATAATAAAGCACGGTAAAAGCAATTACAATAGAAATTATCGCAAAATGTTTAAATATTTTTCAAATATTTTTTTGTTTCATTTTAATAGTGTAAAATTTTTTCCCATTAACCATCAGTCAGTGTTTTACACTACTAATTTCAACAATTTTATCTTGGGATCTGAATTTTTAAGATTGTTGTTATAATTAATTTTATGATAAGGTATTTGTATAGAAACTTTTAACGTAAACTTCCTTAAAAGAGTTTAACAAATAAACATTAAACATGTTCAAACCAATATCATCATCATTCTCCTCTTTCCAAATGTGACACAGCCGTTGTTGTTCTCGAATTCAATCAATCTTCGTTTTGCGGCCAGAAACCCGGTTTCCTGAGGTAGGACGTTGTTTTCTTTGCCATCAACTTTTTGCGTCAAATTAAACGATCAGCTGTATCCATTTCCTTAGAGCTTTCCTGTCTTGCTCGATTGTTTGCGACCAGGACTTCTTTGGACGGCCTTTGGGACGTGTGCTAGGTACTTCAACATCTGCAAGAGAAGTTATGGCACTGTTTCCACTTCGTTTGACATGACCAAACCACCGCAGACGGTGTTGCCGGCATTTGGTGTTGCCGGCATTCGGTGTTGCCGGCATTCGGTGTTGCAGGCATTCGTCCTATATATCATCTAAACAAGCACGATGCAGGATTTCGGTAGATTTGATGTTGTCTTTCAGACTAATTTGTTGCATCCATCGGAGTATTTTCATGTCGGTTCGTTGAAGTTGTTGTTCCAGTTTGGTTGTCATTGGCCATGTTTCTGCACCATATAACAACACCGAACGTATCACAGATTTATAAAGTCTTGATCGTAGTGGTAGTGGGATGTCACGCCGCATCAATATAGAGGCAAGGAGATGACATTTATTCCATGGTTGCACGTATGCGTGATCGAACGGAAGCTTCAGCTATTCCAGTACAATCCAGAACAGCCCCTAGATATTCTCGGATTGCCAACAACAAGGTTTTGCATCATCATTGCCCCGTTTTTAGATGAAAGAAAGCAAAATTTCATCAAAGTTTATGTTTCAGGTGTTCAATGACATTGATGCCACACAGCTCACAACATTGCCGACATGGTCGATTTTTTGGAAATGAATACTTTGCTAGCCGTTCTTTTTGTTTTGCAGGCCGGTCTCCAAGGAATGATAAAACTTTAAGCAAACACTTTTTGATTGGTAGGTAAAAAATCTATACTGCCGGCCACCAAGGAATGATGAAACTTTAAGCAAGCACCTTTTGATTGGTAGGCAAAAAATCTATACTGCCAGCGGCGATGTTGTGTAGCATTGTGAAATCGCCGCTAATGCTTTTGAACTTTAAGGCGGGTAGATTCGGTAATGTTGCGGTTGCGCTGATGTAAGAGAATACATTATTTGTTTTGAAAGGCTGGACACGTGTTTCGTCTATACCAGGGACTCATCAGCAGCCTGAATACTTATCAGAATAGTATCGCAGTTTTCCCCCTATATAGCCCCCACGAATTACTTTGTTAGTTTGTGGTGTTTTCATTTATTTTTGAGGATCGTTAGTTTACATCTTTAGGATTTGTGATCCGGCAGTAATCTCAAGCGATCTGTGCAACAGAATGTTTTGCATTTTTGAATCATTTTTGTTGCACTCTTCGGAACACTTTCCAATTTTTCTATCTCCTAGAAACCACACATTTAAATTAATCAAATAATGAAAATATCAATCAATCAATCTTCGTTTTGTGTCCAGAGACCCGGTTTCCCGAGGTAGGACGTTGTTCTCTTTGCCATCAAATTAGACGATCAGTTATATCCATTTCATTTACATTTAGAGCTTTCATGTCTTGCTCGATTGTTTGCGACCAGGACTTCTTTAGACGGCCTTTGGGACGTTTGCAAGGTACTTCAAAAATGAATAATAATAAATAATGAAAATAAATATGAATCAAAATTTTGTCGACATGAAAATGGTACGGAAGTCAATCAATCAATCTTCGTTTTGCATCCAGAGACCCAGTTCTTCCGAGGTAGGACGTTGTTTTCTTTGCCATCAACTTTTTGCGCCAAATTGATCAGTTGTACCCATTTCATTTAAATTTAGAGCTTTCATGCCTTGCTCGATTGTTTGCAACCAGGACTTCTTTGAACGGCCTTTGGGACGTAAGCCAGGTATTTCAACATCTGCAAGAGAAGTTATGGCAATGTTTCCATTTCGTTTGACATGACCAAACCACCGCAGACGGTGTTGCCGACATTCGTCCTTTTATCATCTAAACCAGCACGACGCAGGATTTCGGTAGATTTGATGTGGTCCTTCAGACTAATTTGTTGCATCCATCGGAGCATTTTCATGTCGGTTCGTTGAAGTTGTTGTTCCACTTTGGTTGTCATTGGCCATGTTTCTGCACCATCTAACAACACCGGACGTATCACAGATTTATAAAGTCTTGATCGTAGTAGTAGAGGGATGTCACGCCACATCAATATAGAGGCAAAGAGATGCCATTTATTCCAGGCTGCACGTATGCGTGCTCGAATGGCAGCTTCACCTGTTCCTGTACAATCCAGAACATCCCCTAGATATTGAAAGGATGTGACTTTCTCTACCTTAATTGCTTCAAAAACATTGCTATTTCGAATTTGTTGTTGTGGATAGATGCAAGCAGGACAAACGAAATTGGACACTTCAGATAAAGTACCAATTATGTTTGAACAACGTTTGTGACACCACTGGTTACACTGCTGACACTTGATTGAATTGTTACCTACACCAGTTTTACAAACTGAACAGGGCCATCGTACAGTAGCTGTGGATTGGATGGGTTCACCAGTGTTCATTGCTTTGGTTTTGCTGATGTTGACTTTGAATCCATGATCGGCGAGTCTGGTGTTCCAATCTTCAAACATCTGTGCTGCATTCTGCTCAGACGTTGCTGTTAAAACGATATCATCAGCATATATTAGATTCCAAATGTCACCAGTGCGTATCGGCTTTGTGATTTCTTCCATAACAGTTATAAATAACAGTGGACTGAGAATCGAGCCTTGGTGAACTCCAACGCCGATGTCAAATGCATCTGTTTCCAACCGTTGTGCTGACGATAGTCTTACTAATCGTATACATTTCCATCACAAGTCGAACAAGATATTCTGGCATGAGTTGTCGACGTAGACTTAGACTCCACCTGATTGTTTCACGGTTCACGGGGAAAACGATCAAATGCTTTTTCAAGATCTACAGAAATGTGTGATAGTTGTTGATGCTTTGCGAGGTACTGGAATAAGTTGTCGACGTAGACTCTACCTGATTGCTTCACGGGGAACTCGATCAAATGTTTTTTCAAGGTCTACAAAAATGTGTGATAGTTGTTGATGCTTTGCGAGGTACTTCTCGTGCAGTTGCCGAAGGATGTGAATTGCATCAATTGTTGATTTCCCCGCTAGGAAACCAAATTGATAATTGTGATGCACGACGTTAATCTTCTCTCAATGATTTTCTCGACAATTTTCAAGGAGTGTTTTAACAAACGTATACCCCGATATGATGAACAGTTAAAATGGATCACCTTTGCCTTTGTATAGCGGAACTGTCATGCTATAGTTCCATTCAGTCGGCATTGAGCAATTTCTCCAGATTTCACGGCAAAGTTGTAGTAACGTTTGGATACCTGCAGTACCAGATGCTTTGATAATGTCATTTGTGAGTCCCGAGGGCCCTGCTGCCTTTCCAACCTTCATAGCTTTCAGAGCTTCTGTAAGCTCCTCTACAGTGATGTCATAAATCGGACCTTCGATGAGTGGAGCGTCAGTTAACATTGATGGGATTTAGTTCGTTTAACAGACGGTTGAAGTATTCTCTCCACTGTAGCTTGATCTCATCTTGTTCAAGAACCATCTCATTTTTATCGTTTTTGATACATGAGGCACCAACTATGTCTTTTTTCGTACGCTTTGCTTGTTTTGCTATACGATACAGAGATTTCATTTATTTACTTTTGCTTTTAGTGAGCCACTCTCTGCACTGATCTGTCCGAGCCAGTGCAACTTGACGTCTTGCATAGTTGTTCTTCTCACGGAAAATTTTATGGTCATCAACAGACTTTGATTTTTGCCATTGCTTGTATGCAACTGTCTTTTCAGCTATTGAATTTTGTACATTGTCATTCCACCACCAAATGTCCCGTTCATGCTGACGTTTTGTACCAGTTTTCCCCACAAACTGTAGTTGCAGCGTTCATTAAAACGGTTTTGTATGTACTCCAATCTGTACTGGCTTGCGATTGGTGGTCTAACTGTGTGGCGACAATCTGTTGAAATTTTTCTCGATGAGTATTGCTTTTCAGCTTCCACGTTTTGATTCTCCAAAGCATTTGTTTAGACTTATGTTTTGACAGTTCGACAACCAGGTCTGCAACAAGGAGTCTATGTTGGGCGACACATGATTCGCCAGGTATAACTTTGACATTTTTGAATAGCCTTCGGTGTTGTTGCTTGACAGCGAAGAAATCAGTTTGCGTGGCTGATGGTCTACTTTTGTATGTTATGAGATGTTCCAACCTCTTTCTAAAATATGTGCTCAATAAACAAAACCCGTGACTTTCAGCAAACTCAAGGATGCGGTTGCCATCTTCATTCCGTTTTCCATAGCCAAAACCGCCATGTACGTTGTCAAAACCATCTGTTTTCTCTTCAACGTGGCCATTGAGATCGCCTCCAATCAGGATTGTTTCAGATTTTGGTAATGTTGCTATGGAGTCAGAGAATGCAGCCCAGAAGTCATTTTTCATCTCTTCTGATTCGCCTGTCTGTGGTGCCTATGCAGAAAAAATAATCATTGTTTGCTTTTCTATGAGAAGCTTGATCCACAAGAGACGTGAATTAATCTTTTTAATATCCAGTACTTCTTGGGCTAGCGGTTCTCTGACAAAAATTCCAACACCATTTTTGGCCGTCTTTTGACCATTCCAGAATAGTTTATATTTTTCTTTGTCTGAGTTGACATGACAGACACCATTCGATTTCCATCGGGTTTCCTGAAGGCAGCAGATGTCAATCCTTCTACGAACGAGCATTTCTGTGATTTCCATGCTGCGGCCAGTTAGTGATCCAACATTGAGCGTTCCAAGTCTAAGTACCATAGAGGGGCCATTCTGAATTTTTCTGCAACATCCCTCCGCTATTGCATACTTTCCAGGGATTCTCGGCACCCCTTGACCACTAAAGGCCTGCTGGGGACTAGGGGCCGTTGTTTTTCTTTGTGATGGCATGAGATTAATTTAGGGAAAAGTTTTTACATCCGGACACCCATCATGACGACAACCACCAGTTATAAGCGGTGGGTCTAGCATTTTGCTCAAAAGCACGCAAGGCAGCGTGGATGCAGTTTTATGTCATGCCCAGGATCAATAATCAATATTATTATAGCAACATGCCTATAGTTAACCATAATAGAATAAAATATCTTTTAAAATTATTCTAAACATGAATATTTCTGATTAAAATGAGCAAAGATTTATAATCTTTGACCTCATGAATCCTATGATACGGATCCTATGATACGAAAATGGTACGGAAGTGGTCCAAAAAATAATTTAACTAAGTTTAGGCTGGGTCATAGAATAAAAACGCTCGAGAAAATTGCACTGAGCAGTAAAAGTCAGGAACATGTATTTCTAACATACATATTTATAAAATATCCCAAAGTAACAAACCTGCTGTTGACCTGATTGTTAAGAAAACTGGGTCATCTATTTTAGACGAAATTTGTCGAACGACAGCAATATTGCTTACAGCAATCTTTTCTAATAGGATTATTAATAAAAAAAACAGCATGAATGACAAAACTATAAATCTAAATTTTTAAGCAACATAAAAATTGCAATTAATTTATAACAGTAATTACCAATAGTTTGTTTTCTAAAACATTCTTCTTCTATTTTTCTTTTATTTTCTTCCTCTATTTTCAAAGTTTTTTCAAGAATTTTTTCAGCGTTAACAAGTTCAATTTCTTGAGACAATTTTTTAAGCTCATCTTCAAGGAATGTTTTATCAAAATTAATTTTTTTATTAGTTTCTTCTGAAACGTTTAATTGGAATGATTGGACGGCAAGATTTTCTTTAAGTGTTGTAACTTCTGACTGAGTTAATTTTAATTCTTCACGAATTTTTTCTAACTGCAAGCTTTTTTCAGTGGAAAAACTTTGCAAATCCTCAAACTTTGTTTGTAACATAACTTTTGAATCATTTAGTTCATTAAAACGTGAATTTACAGCATTGAAATCGTTAACGAGTTTTTCAAACTCTGTCTGCAAGGTAATTAACCTTGAATTTTTATCTGTGTTTTCTTTCGATAACCTTTAGCAAAACAAATTAAATTTAACCTCAAAATATGTCAGTTAAAATTTAATAAAATAAATAAAACTTGATTGTTCCACATCAAACAAATAGAAATATAACGGTTCAATATTAACAATATAAGACGAGTGGTGAAAGCTAGATTAGAAAATACACCGTTAAACGACCAAATTTCCTCAAACCAAAACTCATGCCAAAAATCTTCAAAACAATGTCATGAAACCCGAACACAATAACACAAAATCCCTACCTCAAAACTCAACCGGATAAATCCCCACCATTGTAAGAACCACGTGCATAAGAAACCTTGAACTAAAGCCACCAAACTTTAAATGATCTAAGCAAAAAAATCCACAATTGAAAATTCTGAAGAATAAGTCTTCTCAAAGAAATCTTTGTAGTATAAAATGTGTATATCACCCAAAAGGAATTTTCCGCATTTATATTTCTAAACTTGTGCTTGTTTTTCGTGAAAATTTATTACAAATTTTTAATCGCATCAGGTGAAACTGGTCCTAGCACCGTATCGTATGCACCCGACGGTAGTTTGTCAAGATAAACGGAATTAAGACAAAACCAGCGGAGTAAACTTTTTACCATTTGGGACAGCTCTACTGTTTTTTTATTTAATTTTGAGATTTTTTTATTTTAATGAACAAACTTTTCTCAATGCCGTATTAGATCTTCATTCTAAAAACATAAATTTTTGAATGTATAGAAAATGTACATTACTTATTAAAATAAACACCGACGATGATACATGAACTGAGATTTTCAACCAAAAGTCATTCACCAGAGATTTTTTTCTAAATTACAAATCACAAACTAACTAAATTAAATATTGAAAAATCGTTAAATATCAATGACATTAAAAAACCCGAACATTTTTTAATTTTCGCAACTATAAACTTAATTTCACATAATTAAATGTATAACTGTTAAATAAATCATACATACATCCGTTAAACTCATACAAAATTTTTTTGAAAACATTAGAGAGAAAATATAAATATTTATTAATTTTATTAATAAAAAAAAATAATGAATATTTACTGGGATGAGATTAATAATAATACAACGTATGGCATTCCAAAACAAATAAAAAGTTTGTGTCCAAGCTTTTTGATTAATGTATTTCTATGTTAAATTAATTGTTTTATGGGTTCTACCTAAAAAATTTTGAGAAGGATTTGAACTGGAGCTTCTGTACTGAAATTGAGCAAAATATTCTTCCTTGACAAAGCTGGCACGCCCGCAGCAGGATAGCAAATTAAATGCTACGAAAATTGTTTTAACTCCAAATTTAAGTGAATAAAAAAAAAGGGAACGACGAAAAACCGAAAAGAATTTAGACAAAATGGTGTTAAACGAAATAATAAACTTTAAAAAAACTTTAAAAAAACGCAATATTATCTGACGATGGTTTTAAACTTTGTCAGATGCCATCGCTTCTTTAAAAAATAAACAGGACCCTGGTGGGTAAGTTAATGAATTAAATGCTGACCTTTTAGCATTTAAAATTTTGTAAGGTAGTTGTCATCAAAATACAAAAACAGTAGCGGTAACGACACTTAATAAAAAGCATTATCTTACGTTGCTATTTGATCATCAGCGAGTTGTTTGTATCTGGCCATTTCATTAACTTTTTTTAATAATTGCGATTTTTCTGTTTCTGCCAACTGTAAATTGTTTTCAGTAATTGTATTGGAGTTAAGAAGTTTCTCTAACTCCAGTAACTTTTCAGAATTGATCTCTTTTTCATGTTTCAAAACCGTGTCCAAGCCATTTAAACTTTCCTCTAATTCAAGAATTCTTTGTTCCGAAATCTTAAAAGGATTGTTTATATTAATTCAAAAATTAGAAAAAAAATCAGATTAATGAGAAATCATTATTAAAAGTTTTTTAATTTTAAAAAGATTAAACTAAGGGTTTTCAATGAAAAAAAATATAAATTGGACATAACACACAACATATCGCAACACAATATAATATATATTGTAACATAATATAACGTAACATAACATAACGTAACATATCGTAACACAACACAACGCTTTAGAAGTCAACCAATGAGAAGTAAATTAAATGTAGCACAATTAAATGTAGCACAACACAATACAACACAAGAAAAAAATGGCGAAACATCCTTTGCTTATTCTTTATATAAATATTCACGAATGATAAAATAAAATTTATTTCTAAATTCTATTTTCAAGGTTTCAGGGGGAAATGTTGAGCCCCGCATCATTTAATTATATTATTGCTGCGGGGTAGGACGGCGCGTCGGGTAAATAAAGGCTGGTCTCGTCAGACAAAAAAAAAGTTCATTTTATTGTAGAAAATTGGTTGGTAGAGTTAGTTATTTTTATTGTAGAAAATTAGTTGGTAGAGTTGGTTAATTTCATTGTAGAAAATTAGTTGGCAGAGTTGGCGTTTTTGTTGGTGAGAAATTGGACACGCAACCGTGGTTGGTGAAGTAACTGTTGGTTGGTAAGGTATTATTGGGAGAAGTTTCATTTTTTGGTACGTGGGTGGTAGTTAGTCAGTGGTTAGACGAGAGAGCTGGAAATACGGTATGGGGTTGTTACGAGCTCAACGACGACAAACGTAAGGTAGCGAACGAAGTAGTTATCTGTTGCGTTGGAGGGTGGCGAACAAAGTAGTTGCCTTTCAACGTAACAAAAACGTTTGTCGGTTGGGTAAAGCACAGGTGGTGCAATATTGGTACAGAAGACGGCTGGAACCGAAGGAGTCAACCCCACATAACACCAGTGTTCGAAGGATTCTACATTGTTGTCAAGTGAAGAAGTTGAAACAGTATCCGCTCGTACGTGGTCACAGCACTGGCAGGAACAAGTCTGCATACTAACCTCGAACTTTAACTTTTATTTTGGTTTTCTTTATTGACATTGTATATTTATTTGATATAATTTTCAGTTTACAGAATAAAATTTTTTTTTGATTTGTGTCTACGTCTCAACCTTGCCGCTAAGAACCCGCTACATCTATATAAATTATAGGTTAAATGTGAGCTGGAAAATTAGTTTATTAAAACGCGTTAACAGTGAAAATTATAATAACAGCTTAGAAATGGAATTCATACCGTATTTTTAATCAGCAGTAATTCATTGCTTGATAAAGCTTCTGAAAGTTTTTCAGCTGCGTTTGATGATTGCAATAGTTTCTCTTCAACTTTGTTTCGGTCTTCCTTCATTAATGTCATTTCAGTTTGTAATTTCTGTCCAAAATGAACATTATAGCTCAAATTTATAAAAATCCAAATGTTACGAATTCTCATTAGAATTTTGTCAAAATTATTAGCCCGATATTCCTCTCAGAGCCCATTTGAAAAGTGTTTGCCAGAGAAAGATTATATTGTTTAACGTGGTAAATTAAAATCTCAACTGTTTTATTTTTTGACCCACGTACATGTTGTCAATACTTTACAAAAAAATATATAAAGGCATATCCTATAAATGATACATTCTTTTTTTTACAACTCCCTATATCAAAGTTTTGTTTAATTTTGTTTTGGAAGCCTACCAATTTCGTTTTGTATGAAAACTTTTAGGCAAGCAAGACATTTCGTAGTGTGAACAAATAATTAAAGGTTTAAAGGTCAAAGGTTTCTCTCTCTCTTTTTTGCGTTTGCTTCAGAGGTTTCAACGACAAACACACACAGCGTATATGAATACGCGTGCAAACCACGCATCATACACATTGCATATGATAGGCGGGGATCTCTTTGTATTCGAACCCAGTCATAGCAATAGCAAGACCAGGCGCTTTTAACCATTGAGCCATCACGCCGCCATTACTGACCTGGTATAAAAAAAACTATTAAAAAAGGCTAACACATTTCTGTAATCCGATGAAAATTGTAATTGAAAACAATCATAAAATAAATTCTTTTGAGAAGATTAGGAGACGATATCAATCAGAGCAAGATTGCAGGTTTGCACTTTTTTTTTCATAGGCAACATATTTTTTTTAAATCCAATTTTCATCAGGTTTTGCAGTCTCTTATTTATGCAACTTTGAGATTAAAAATGAAACGATCACCTGGTAAAGTTGGTCGCCTTAGTGTGACTATTTGTTTTGCTCACGAGCATTGTATTGCATTGCAGATTTGTGGGGCGCTTCTGCAGAGCAACCTTCATGTGCGCTAAATTATATTAGATACATATATACATGAATATATGATCGAACTTCGAAAAACGTGAAGAGGTTTAAATTTTTAACATGTTCAATTAATTCTAAATAAATAATAATTTTTAACATTTCAAATGCCACAATTTCTATACCTCAATTTTTTCTTTGTGAACTTCAACTTCTTTTTTAGATGCGGCAACTTGCTTTAATGAATCTGTGTACTAATTTCAAAGCATTTAACAAAAACAATAGAAAGAATATTCAGCGTAAATTTTTTAACAATAAAAATGATTAATTAGAGATTTCAAGTTACCTCATGATACAAATTATGATATAAACTATAATTATAGTTTTCCAGTTACCTCATGATACAAATTATGATATAAATTATAGTTTCCAAGTTGCCTCATGATACAAATTATGATATAAATTATAGTTTGCCAGTTATTTAATGATATAAATGATAATCTCTTTGGTGGATTTTTCGTAAGAAAAAATTAAGAAACACTAAAAATACACAGCTCCAAGTAAACCAATCAGTAATACTACACTACTACGCTTATTATTATTATAATAACAAAAAAGAAGAGTTTTTTAATAGTCGATTAATCAATCTTATAGCTTATCGAAATAATATCTAATCATATAATAATGGCGTGAAACTTCAATAATAATAACAATAATAATAATAATAACAATAATAATAACAACAACAATAATAATACAAGAATAAGGAGAACAATACTGGCAGCGGGAAGAGAAGTTTTCGATAGATCTTCCGTAGACAACTGATACGGACGCAGAGGCAGGTGGCGTTATGTTACGTATAATAATAATAATAAAATAATCATAAAACTTCACGTTGGCAAAGGCAAGAGTGCCGTGTCTTGTGCTGCTATTACGCTATGGTCTGGTTCGAATACTGTCTGTCTGAAACTCAAGGACCATCACACGCTTATGATGGGGTGCTTGCACGAGCATACATAATGTGTATGTGCGTCGTGTCCCGTGGCGTCGTGTAGAGGTTTTGTGGCACGAAGATTTAATCATAAGTATATAATAATATGTAAGCAGTTCTGCGTTTGACAGAGAATAAAAAAATAATAATTTTGAAATTTTAACCAAAAAATATTCTAGTCGACCTGTAACATTAACGGTCAATTGTTTTAATTTACTTAAAAAGTTTATTGCTAATTAGATTAAGCATCCCATGTTAAATGTAAAGTAGTCTGAATATATAAACAATTTTAAAACGGCTTTTGATGAGAATGAGAAAACACGCAAAAAATTAAAATTTTACCAAAATTTATAACAAAATTCTAATTTAATTGTAACCAATGTACGATAGCGACATTGTTTAACGAAGTCCCGCCCAACGAATATCTATTATCTAATTGAAAAGCGCTCAACAGAGCCGTTGATAAGAGATGAAAAGACAAAGCGCATTCAAATGTTTAAAAAATTCATTTAACTAATAAAAAGCTGAAACCGTTTTCAAAAGAGTGACGTGCTCCTCACGCAACTTGACATAAATATCTTTCATCTTTACAAATCTATCTTCATTCACTTGGGCAAGTTCTTGAAAATGAATATAAAATAATCGAACATAAATCTAAATACGTGAATCTTTTTCGCCACGAAAATCAAAAAACCGAATCAAGATTATTAAAGATCATCTCAAAAAACACCTAGCCTTAATATTTCAGCTGGCTAGGTGTATCGGAAGTGGGTACAATTGTTAAATAGAACATCACATGACAAGATGTCATAAAGGAAAAGAATACAAAAAAAGAAAAAAAGAGATGTTTTAAAAAAGGATTATATAAAATGTACTTGCTTTCTAAGCTGGATGTCTTATCAGCTTCTGTCGGTTTTTCAAATTCTTTTATTGATGTTTTCAGCATTTCATTCTCCTAGCCCAAGATGAACGATAATGCAAATAAATAATGTAATTTAAAATCGACATTGTGACATAAACCTTTATTTATCACTACAAGTTTACTCATTTCCTGCACCACTTGACCTTCTAATCAAAGGTTATTACTTAAACAATGAAAAAAACCTTATATGTAACCGACAAAATTAGAGCCCCTGTAATTCTTTATATTTTACGCGAACGCAGACAAGCAACAGCTCGGTTACGTGAGAGCGTGCTTCTAGTTTGTGAAATGTGAATAATCATTTACATCCTGAAAAAAAATTTACTTGAGATATCGAGTCAATCAAACGTTTTTGGGCTTCAAATTCAATTTCAAACTCTCTGATTTTATTAGTTGCTGAAAGAATCATTGCTTGGTGTTCTCGTTTAACTCGTTCAACTTCAATTTTGTTATTTGCAATATCCTGATTCAGACGTTTTATTACTGCTTCCCTGTAAATAAATTAAATTAATATAAGTTATTTTCCACATTCAGATGGACTTGCATTGAAATATATTTTTCGAATATCTGGTTAATAACAAAAGTTACAAAAGAAAAATTTATAATGAATTTGAAAATAAATAAAAATCACATATATCCAGTCAATGAGCATCAATTAAGTTGTGGTTCATTTATGATATGAGTGGCATTTGACAGCATTACAAATCTTTCAGATAACGATGATATTTTTAATGGCATAAATGCGTACAAAGTTTCACGACGAAGCATGATTTCAACAAACGATTAAAATCTTTCTGCAAATGGTATCTCGAACAACAACAACAACAACAACAACAACAACAACAACACACGTTTAGACGGCATTTTCCCCGAGATCGGGGGTTGCCGTTTGGCTACCTATGATGAAACCGAAATACCCCTCGACGCCATCCACATCTGTCACTCGCCTCAGTATCACGCAACCCCGCTTTCACCCTGTCCTTCTCCACCTGCTCTCTCCATCCCAATCGCGGACGACCCCTTCCTACCACTCCTTCAACCTCGAACTCCAACGCTCGCTTAATCCCGACCCTTTCATCCCTTCTCAACACATGTCCATACCACCGCAATCTCGATCTCCCTATCAATGTCACAATGTCCTCATTCAGTCCCATCATTGACATCAGCTCTGTACTACTCCTCCTATCCTTCACTTTAACCCCCCACATCATCCTCACCATAGCTCTTTCAGCCCTCTGCAGTACACTTTCCTCCTCTCTCCTCAACACCCAAGTTTCACCACCATATACCATCGCTGCTCTCACACATGCTTTATATACCCTCCCTTTCATCTTCACTGACCATTTCTTTCCACACAATACCCCACCCAGTTCCCTAAATTTCATCCATCCCACACGAACCTAGCCGTAACTGCGCTCAAACATCCTCCATCCGCATTCAGCTTATCCCCTAAGTAAACAAAGNCTTTCCANCTCTTTCAATACCACCACTCAACCCCGTCCTTGCGTCCGTCCTATTAATCACACCGTGAACACATTTCTTACATTTGAACGTGCCTTCCACCTTTTTCAGTGCCCCCCTCACACCACTACATCTCTTATGCACCCATTTCTGACATCCTATACACAATACCGAGTTAGCCTTCACTCTCCTATCACATACCCCACAGGGGTCTATTTTACTTATCACTCGCTCCCCACCTTCCCCACTCACCATTACCTTCGTCTTACCAATATTAACTTTTAACCCTTTCTTTTCAATAACACTTTTCCATCTGTCAAATTTTAACTGCAATTCTTCCATGCTATCAGCCATCAAGACTAAATCATCTGCATACAAAATCTCAAATAACAACCCCTCCATTATGTTTCCACACACAACATCCATCACAATTGCAAACAGAAACGGTGATAACACTGATCCTTGATGCACTCCTACCTTAACATTAAAAGCGTCCGACATCCCCCTTCCAACCCTCACCTTTGTCTTTGCCCCTTCATACATCTGCATCACAGCTTTAACAAGTCTCTCATTCACTCCTTTCTTCCTCAACGCCCATTCAATGACCTTCCTTGGTACAAAAGCCTTTTCTAGACGGTCTCTCGAAAAGGTATCTCGAACATCCATTAAAATTTTAAATCATCCATTTATTTAGCGGCTGTCCCTAGACAACGTTGCTTAAATGATTTAT